CTCGGGTCTGGTCTCCCCCATCACTCAGTTAACCAAGCTTGGGACGCGATTCAGATGGACGCCAGAGGCACAGGAAGCTTTTGAAGCACTAAAGAAGTTATTTACCTCGGCACCCATTCTGGGTCATCCCGACGCCTCCCTGCCCTACATCTTAGAAGTAGATGCGTCAGAAAACGCGGTTGGCTCCATCCTTTCCCAGCGAAAGGGCGCCAAGGAATTACTTCACCCAGTAGCATTCTTCTCACGGAAACTTACCCCTGCGGAGAAGAACTACGACATTGGGGATCGAGAACTACTGGCTATCAAGACCGCATTAGAAGAATGGAGGTACCTGCTGGAAGGTGCCTCACATCCCATCCTGATATTCACGGACCACAAGAACCTGGAATATCTGAGGACGGCCAAACGTTTGCGCCCACGACAAGCAAGATGGGCATTGTTTTTCTCGAGGTTCCAGTTCCACATCACATACAGGCCGGGATCAAAAAACACGAAGCCAGACGCGTTGTCACGTATGTACGAGGACGCCAAGGAGATCCCAGTACCTGACACTATTCTGCCTGCGGGAAACTTCTTGGCCCTCCAGACGAACCTTCGCTCCGAGATACTGAGAGCGTCCACAGCAATGTCTACCTCCGATGGGGCGCCCCTCCAGAACAAGGGGGGACTCCTATGGAGGGAGGACCGGATTGTGGTGCCGGAGGAAGCCCGAACCCTAGTCTTGGGACATTGCCATGACCACCCGATGGCAGGACATTTTGGCCCGGTCAAGACCCTGGAACTTCTCCGACTTTCCTTCTGGTGGCCGGACATGGCCAAGGATTGTAAAAGTTACGTGGGCTCCTGTGCCATCTGCCAGCGGAACAAGCCTTCAAGAAATAAGGCGTGGGGCCTGCTACGTCCATTACCCATCCCTGAACGGCCCTGGCAGAAAATCTCTATGGACTTCATAGTCGAGCTTCCACCTTCACTGGACCACACAGCAATTCTCGTGGTCGTGGACCGTTTATCCAAGATGGCCCATTTCATTCCTTTACGGAAGACTCCATCAGCAGCCGAGACGGCGCAAGCTTTTATCCGAGAGGTTGTTAGACTGCATGGGGTCCCGAAGACATCGTCTCGGACCGAGGGGTGCAGTTTACCTCGAGATTTTGGAGGGCATTGTGCAAAGCCCTGGATATCAAGCTATCCCTTTCCTCGGCATTTCACCCTCAGACCAATGGTCAGACCGAAAGGACCAATCAGACCCTAGAGCAATACCTGCGATGCTACACATCATTCTCTCAGGACGACTGGGTGCCACTTCTCCCTTTGGCGGAATTCGCGTACAACAACGCTTGCCATTCAGCAACAGGGCAGTCCCCGTTCTTCTCCAACTATGGGTTTCACCCTGTCTTCCTCCCGGATTTAGTCCCGGAATGCCCAATTCCAGCGACACAGGATGCACTAACCTTTTTCACTTCAAACAATAAAAAACTACAGGAAGCCATCCGTCAAGCCCAAGAAGACTACAAGAGGGCTTTTAATAGGAAGCGAAGAGGGGATCTGGTGTTGCGGCCCGGAGAGAAGGTTTGGCTGGCTACATCGAACTTGAAGATGCTCTGCCCGTCAAAAAAGTTGGGACCTAAATTTATAGGCCCTTTTTGCATCAAACGGATGGTCAATGAAGTGGCCTATGAACTTGTTCTCCCTGAGACACTCAAGATCCACCCTGTCTTCCACGTGTCCCTGTTGAAGCCGGTAGTCCCTGATGCCTTCCCGGAACGGGAATCCAGGCCCCCGGAGGCCGTAACAGTCGAAGAGGAAGAAGAATTCGAGGTGGAGACAATCCTGAAGTGCCGACGAAGGGGGGGCCAGACCCAATTTCTCATCAAGTGGAAGGGCTACGGCCCTGAGGACAATTCGTGGGAACCAGCCCATAATGTCCATGCACCTAGACTTGTCCGGAGGTTTCTTTGTGATCACCCGTGGTGGAGAGATCGGGTGGGCATCCGGAGGTTGCCCGTAGGGGGGGGGGGGGCAATGTCAGGGATCCCCTCGATCCCTGCCGCGATGGTCCCGGCGCAGGCGCACTGCTCCGCCCTGTGCAGGGACACGGGCACTAGGTCCGGGCCGGCCGCGGCGTTCGAGTTTGCGCATGCGCAGTAGAAGCCGCGGCCGCCCGCTGGGCACCAATGGCAGCGCAGGGCGGGATATTTAAATGTCCCTGAGCTGTCATTTCGTTGCCTTCTGGTCTTACCTGCTTCCTGTGATTCTGAACCTGTGCCTTGTAAGTTATTTGACCCGGATTGTTCTTGACCTGCTGATTTCTCCTGCCCAGACCCTTGCTTTGCCTGACCTCTCTCCCTGGATGCCCCTCATTAGATCTGACCTACTGTTGCTGACCTGGCGTGTGACCCGACGATTCTCTGCCTGCTCCCTTGTACCTTACCGTCCTCTACGTTACCAACTCGGCCTGTCTGACTTCGCACTTGCTCAGCCATCCATCCATCCATCCCATCGGGGTCACCCGACCTCCTCACATCTGGCTCTCCCTGGTTGGAGCCCCTGGCGAACACCCCTACCACTGACAGGTGTGCTCAGTAGTGGCGACCTGGTCCCGGGGTACTACAAGTCCATCCCCACCATCAGGGGCTCTGGTGAACAAGTACCCTGGGGCTTAGACTCCGCGCTCTGGGCACGCCTGACCGGTGGAGTGCTAGTGGTGCCGCTCGGCGGTTCCTCACAAGAGGTCTGTGCGTCCCTCCATGGATATGCCTCCCCAAACCATGACTGTCCACCACCAAAACAGTCATGCTGAACGATGTTACAGGCAGCATAATGTTCTCCACAGCTTCTCCAAACCCTTTCACATCTTTCTCATGTGCTCAGGGTGAACCTGCTCTCATCTGTGAAAAGCACAGTGTGCCAGTGGCGGACTTACCAATTCTGGTGTTCAATGGCAAATGCCAATCAAGCTCTATGGTGTCGGGCAGTGAGCACAGAGCCTGATAGAGGATGTCGGGCCCTCAGGCCACCCTCATGAAGTCTGTTTTGGATTGTTTGGTCAGAGAGATTCACAACAGTGCTTATCGTGTTCCTCCTTGCACAAAGGAGCAGATATTGGTCCTGCTGATGGGTTAAGGACCTTCTATGGCACTGTCCAGCTCTCCCAGAGTAACTGCCTGTCTCCTAGAATCTCCTCCATGCTCTTGAGACTGTGCTGGGAGACACAGCAAAGCATCTGGAAATGGCATGTATTGAGGTGCCATCCTGGAGGAGTTGGACTGCCTGCGCAACCTCTGTAGTGTCCAGGCTTCGCCTCTTGCTACCTGTAGTGACACTGACCCTAGCTAAACGCAAAAACTAGTGAAAAAGAGGAGTAGGGAAAAGAATGTCAGTGGCCTCCACCTGTAAAACCTTTCCTGTTTTGGTGGTCATCTCATTGTTGTCCATCTAGTGCACCTGTTGTTAATTTCATTAACACCAAAGCAGCTGAAACTGATTAACAACCCCCTCTGCTACTTAAATAACCAGATCAATATCCCAGGAGTTTAATTGACTTGATACTATACTCTGATTAAAAAGTGTTCCTTTAATTTTTTGAACAGTGTATATATTCATAAATAAATAACCAAATATTAGCTTACTTCAGCATAGGATACAAAAAAAAAAAAAAAATGTCAAGACAAAACCTATTTTACCATTACTATTATTATTGTTATCATTTTATCATTATAGTGCACCACCAAACCTACCTATCACATAAATACATATCAAGAAAATCAGGAAAGGTCACCTAAAAACACAAACCCAGACTAAGAAACATTTAATCATTTAACCCATGCATGCAGACTTTTCCCAGAAAAATGCAATCTTATCAAAATCTAGGGGGTGTGAAAGGACAGAAAGAAAAGCACACGAGGGACTGACAGACAGCATCTACAGAGACCTGACATTCCTCCATGCCTTTGTCCAAGGCCCGGATGATGTAACTCCAACACATGCACACAGGAGTTACTTCATCTTGGTACAGGGTTGTGCTGAAGCTGTACACTTAGCTAACAGACAGGGCGAAACAGCTATCACAGAAAGGATATAAACAGTCTCTTCTGTCATAAAAATCCTACCTGTCAGCACTTTTTAAAAGAAAAACAACTTAGCTTCCACTTTAACACTGTGCTTCTTCTTAATACCAAGCCCCTTCAGTGGGGTTTTTATAACAATGGAACTGCAAAGTTGGTTAATAATGGACAGTATGTAAGGAATAATAAATCACAATTCCAACAAAAATGAAAACGTTTGAATCTCACATCTTTATAAGAGGACTGTGATGCTCACGTGGTTTTAGGCATTTTGTAATGAACAGGCATTATTGGATAAAGTAGAGCATCGACCCATGTACAGAATGAGTTTCTCCTTTGAATTACTGGCCTGTGCAAAGCATTTTCATCACTAGGTGGAGCCAAAGACTTTTTATGTACACTATATTGCCAAAAGTATTGGGACGCCTGCCTTTACACGCACATGAACTTTAATGGCATCCCAGTCTTAGTCCGTAGGGTTCAGTATTGAGTTGGCCCACCCTTTACAGCTACAACAGCTTCTACTCTTCTGGGAAGGATGTCCACAAGGTTTAGGAGTGTGTCTATGGGAATGTTTGACTATTTTTCCAGAAATGCATTTGTGAGGTCAGGCACTGATGTCGGACGAGAAGGCCTGGCTTGCAGTCTAATTCATCCCAAAGGTGTTCTATCGGGTTGAGGTCAGGACTCTGTGCAGGCCAGTCACGTTCCTCCACCTCAAACTCGCTCATCCATGTCTTTATGGACCTTTGCTTTGTGCACTGGTGCACAGTCATGTTGTAACAGGAAGGGGCCATCCCAAACTGTTCCCACAAAGTTGGGAGCATGAAATATCTTGGTATGCAGACGCCTTAAGAGTTCCCTTCACTGGAACTAAGGAGCCAAGCTCAATCCCTGAAAAATAACCCCACACCATAATCCCCCTTCCACCAAACTTTACAGTTGGCACAATGCAGTCAGGCAAGTACCGTTCTCCTGGCAACTGCCAAACCCAGACACGTCCATCGGATTGCCAGACAGAGGAGCGTGATTCTTCCCTCCAGAGAACACATCTCCACTGCTCTAGAGTCCAGTGCCGGAGTGCCTTTCACCACTGCATCCAACGCTTTGTATTGCACATATTGATGTAAGGCTTGGATGCAGCTGCTCGGCCATGGAAACCCATTCCATGAAGCTCTCCATGCACTGTTGATGTGCTAATCTGAAGGCCACACTTTAGCTATTGACTCTGCAGACAGTTGGCGACTTCTGCGCACTGTGCGCTTCAGCATGCATTGACCCTGCTCTGTCATTTTACGTGGCCTACAACTTCATGGCTAAGTTGCTGTTGTTCTCAGTTGCTTCCATGTTATTATAATACCACTAACAGTTGACCGTGGAATATTTATTAACAAGAAAATTTCACGGATGGACTTATTGCACAGGTGGTAATCTATCACAGTACCATGCTTGAATTCACTGAGCTCCTGAGAGCGACCCATTCTTTCACAAATGTTTGTAGAAGCAGTGCATGCCTAGGTGCTTGATTTTATACACCTGTGGAGGTGATTGGTACACCCGAATCCAATGATTTGGAGGGGTGTCCCAATACTTTTGGCAACTTATGTTTGTATGCATGTGTATGTATGTATTTAATAATCTATTCTGGCCATCCAGGTCCACAATTTCTATGGAGCAAAATGTTTGAGAAAAAAAAGCATTCTCTGAAGAATGGCATTTATTTTAAAATAAAATAAGTACATGAATAAATAAATAAATGTTATTTAAAAGAGAAGTCTTGGATTTATTTTTTTTTTCTGAAATCATACTTACCTAGCTGGATACAGCATCAGTCTGATGCTGCATCTGTCCCCTGTCAACTCTAAGTGTGAGAGCTAAGTGATGACATGACTGGTGATTGCTGAGTTCTAACTGCCGCTGTGAGCATAGACCGGCACTGTCAGTCACTACTGTATGTTCTGCCCCCACTGTGCTCACTGGAGCACTGGGCTGTAGAGGGGGAGGGAGTGGCTGGCTCAGATTGCCCAGAGGCTGAGCCAGGTGCCACTCCAGACTCTGGGTGGTGGATCCTGACTTTAAAGTTGGGACATTTCCCCAGCCTGGACCGGCTGAGTGAAGTCAAAATGAACTGCACTCCTGTGATCCACAGAAGTACATCCAAAAGAGCTTTGCCTGTACTTCTCCTTTAACTAAAAAAATTAACTAAATACTAAAAAACTATGATTTGGAGCTGAAAACAAATAGTTACCAATCAATCCAGTAGGGTTAGGGATTTTTTAAAATTCTTTCTAGCAAGATTTGGAACACATGGTCGAAGCCAGTGCTAGAGAACAAAAGTGCTTACAAGACTGAATCACTCTGTTCAGGGCTTATTGGCATTGCATTTGCAGAAAGAAAACAAATCGGTAAGAATTTTGGGATGTAGACTGAGCATTGTTTTGCACGTTTCCTAGAAAAATATTAGGTCATAAAGTGACACTAAATGATAAAACCACACAAACATGATCCATATTATTCCAATACTTAATGCCCCTGTAAAGCATTTTTCATTAAATTGTTTCTTACTGTGCTTTTCAGTCTCCTTGTAACTTCCTCCGTGAGACTCCCAAACCTCTTCTTTATCCATCACTTTACTTTGTTTGGAACAGAGAAAGTGCACAGCACTTTGTACGCTACAGATCCCATAATCCCTAGTTCATCTAGGATGAGTGAGCAAGAGAAGGTAGCTACAGTGCCTTGAAAAAGTATTCCTACCCCTTGAAATTTTCCACATTTTCTCATGTGACAACCAAAAACGTAAATGTTTTTTATTAGGATTTTATGTGATAGACCAACACAAAGTGGCACATCATTGTGAAGTGGAAGGGAAATTAAATGACGAAATAAACTTCTGAAAAGTGTGGTGTGAATCTGTATTCAGCCTCCCTGAGTCAATGCTTTGTTGAACCACCTTTCACTGCAATTACAGCTGCAAGTATTTTTGTGTATGTCTCTACCAACTTTGCACATCTATAGAGTGAGGTTTTTTTCCATCCTTTGCAAAATTGCTCTGTCAGATTGGTTAGAGAGCATCTGTGAACAGCAATCTACAAGTCTTGCCACAGATTCTCAATTGGATTTAGGTCTGGACTTTGACTGGGCCATACTAACCCATGAATATGCTTTGATCTAAACCAGTGTTCCTCAACCTTTTTTCAATCAAGGCACCCTTTAAAATTATGGACAGTCTTAACTCACCCCATGCTAAAATGTGAAAAACTATTCTAATAGTTTTTATATAATGCAGCAATTTCCACACATGTAGGACACCCAACATTAGAGGTGATTTATTCTTCCAATGCAAATACACTTTTGCACACTGGTACTGACTAGTACCCCAATGTTTCTCTTCTCCCTCAGTTTTTCTCTATCACTGAGCTGATGTGACCCCTGCACTGATTGAGAGGGGCAGGGGAGGGTCAAACCAGGTGCTGTGCAGGCAGCTGACATCCTCCTTATCAACTGATGATGTGACTGGTTGTCAAGACACCGTCGTAATGGGGTACAATGAAAACCTGTGATTTTGTGTAAGGCAGGCTTGTTCCACCTGCTGGCTTGTATACAAGTTTTGGGCAAATTTTAGACATTTTGCCAAGGCACCCCTGCAGAAACCTCAAGGCAGCCCAGGGTGCCTGGACACCCTGGTTGAGAAAGGCTGATATAGACCATTCCATTGTAGCTCTGGCTGTATGTTTACGATTGTTGTGCTGCTAGAGGGTGAACCTCCACCTCAGTCTCAAGTCTTTTGCAAACTCCAACAGGTTTTCTTCTGAGATTGCCTTGTATTTGGCTCCATCGATCGTCGCATCAACTCTGACCAGCTTCCCTGTCCCTGCTGAAGAAAAGCATCCCCACAACATGATGCTGCCACCACCATGTTTCACGGTGGGGATGTGTGTTCAGGGTGATGTGCAGTGTTATTTTTCTGCAACACATAGCATTTTGATTTTAGACCAAAAAGTTAAATTTTGGTCTCATCTGACCAGAGCACCTTCTTCCACATGTTTGCTGTGTCCCCACATGGCTTCTTGCAAACTGCAAACAGAACTTCTTATGGCTTTCTTTCAATAATGGCTTTCTTCTTGCCACTCTTCCATAAAGGCCAGACTTGTGGAGTGCAATTAATAGCTGTCCTGTGGAAAGACTCCCCCACCTGAGCTGTAGTTCTCTACAGGTCCTCCAGAGTTACCATGGGCCTCTTGGCTGGTTCTCTGATTGCCCAGCCTGTCAGTTTAGGTGGATGGTCATGTCTTGGTAGGTTTTGTCATACTCTTTCCATTTTCGGATGATGAATTGAACAGTGCTCCGTGAGATGTTCAAAGCTTGGGATATTTTTTATAACCTAACCCTGCTTTAAACTTCTCCATGACTTTATCCATGACCTGTCTGATGTGTTCCTTGGCCATCATGATGTTGCTTGTTCACTAGTGTTCTCTAACAAACCTCTGAGGGCTGCACAGAACAGCTGTATTTATACTGAGATTAAATTACACACAGGTGGACTCTATTTACTAATTAGGTGACTTCTGAAGGCAAATGGTTCCACTAGACTTCAGTTAGTGTATCAGAGTAAAGGGGGCTGAATACAAATGCATGTCACACTTTTCAGATATTTATTTGTAAACAATTTTGAAAACCATCATCATTGTGCTTCCACTTCAAAATTATGTGTCACTTTGTGTTGGTCTATCACATAAAATCCCAATAAAAAAAATTAACATTTTTGGTTGTACCATGACAAAATGTGGAAAATTTCCAAGGGGTATAAATACTTTTTAAAGGCACTTTATGTTCCAGTGTGAATAACAATGATTGAGGGAACATGGAAGGAGTGGGGAGGGTCTAGCTAGTGTTAATCAAATTAGTACTAAACAAAAGGGGAGGGCAGAGGACGACACCAACATTATATTAGTAAACAAGTTGCAATGGCTGGCCCAAAACTGCCACTAGATGTCAGCATAATATTATCATTATTAATATTGATTATTATTATGATTATTATTATTAAGTACCATCAACTCAAGTCTGAGTCCTTGATGAATAAGAGCTCTAAAAAGAAGTTGGCTTTGTGCTAGTCTGGCGAGATCCTCCAGTGTCATTCCCACAGCTGTAGTCAATGTGTCCAGCCACCTAGTATTCGGTCTCTCTTTTTTCGCCTGGTTCCTTCCATCTTCCCACACGTTATTTCCTTCTTCATTGATCTCTTTCTTCTGACAGTGTGACTAAAATATGTCACAGAAGCCTATCATTTGGGCTTCTAGTGACATAGCCGATTTGATCTCTTCCAAAATCGATTAGTTCTATGGGCTGTCCATGGTGCACATAAAATCCTTCTCCAGCACCAAAGCTCAAATGAGTCGATCTTCTTTCTATTCTGTTTCTGTAGTCTCCAGCTTTCACAACTGTAATTTACAAACGAGAAAATAAGAGCATAGACGATTCTGATCTTTCTATTCAGTGTAAATTCTTTGCATTTGAAAACTTTGTTGAGAGTCTTATTTGTGTAGCTACCAAGTGCAATTCTGAAGAATATAACCTTACTGTTAGTTGCTTCCTTGTTTATTAGTGAGCTAAGGAGGTTAAATGATTTGAAACTTGTTGTCTCTCACTGTCAAACACAAAATTGTCGTCATTTTCTGTGTTCATGATTTTTGTCTTGTTTATATTCAGTTCTAATCCCATGTTACGACTTTCAGCTTTAAAGGACAAATTCAGCTTTATAAAAAAAGTAATAAATGCACATATTTTTGCAGGTAAAAAATGTGCATTTATTGATTTTTGTTGCAAGAGCCTGTGAAGCATTGCACTAGCGATAAGTAGATCGCTGGTGCCATGCAGGTCTCTTGCAGACCTGTCAGTATATCTACTTGCCCGTAGGGGATGTGCAGGCAAGCAGATATACCAACAGGAAGACTAAATGAATTGAGTAGTAGTTAATTGAGAACTACAAGCCAACAGCCACTAAGGAAGTTCAGTGTCCTGCAAGCATCTACTTCATTATATTATGCTATATTTTACAAACACTCTTCTTATTGTATTCTTTCATCTCACTCTATTTTTTTCCTTCCTTATCTTCCTTTAACCCCCAGCCCAGGTTTTCTAAGTGTTCGCTCCCTTTAAACAAAATGGGTTTCTTAAGCATTCCATAGGATCCCCAATGATGATATCTACAAAAAAATATGCACTCCTTTTTTATTATGTCCCTTTCTGATCTACCAAGCCACATTTTATGTTCTGACCATAAACTGATTCTAAAACCAAAATTATATAGATCTTCCCCCTTTCCCCATCTGAGTAATAGCCATAGTCACTATTCCACACTTTTCCAAAGCAACAATCTTGCAGGTGCCTGGAGAGAACAAACCCCCTACTACAAGACTATAGGTATTATTTGGATGGACCATGATCCATTTCTGCTAACCATGAAATTCCTATTGCTCAAACCACACCCAGTTCCATGGTCACTGAATGACTCCCTTCTTTCTTAACCAGGCACAATAGATACCCTACAGTGAAACACTGAGAAGTACTTTAGTATAAA